CACAGCGCCCGTTCTTTTCTTTTGAGACAGGAGTCTCTCTCTGCGCTGGGCCTCTAGTTGCGTGCGGGCGTCAGCGCTAGTCACGCAACCTCAAACTCCTGCGGGCTCAAGTGATTCCTCCTGGCTCAGCCTCCCCGCTGGTGGCTGGGTACTACGGGCACACCCCACGCGCCAGCTAATTTTTTTTTTGTGTATTTAGCGTGCCACGACCAATTAATTGTGTCTCTGTTGTTAGTGGAGACGGGAGTCTCACTCTTGCTCCGGCTGGTCTCGAACTCCTGACCTCCAGCGACCCCTCCCCGCCTCGGCCTCCTCAAAGTTCTCACTTGCTCCAAGTGCCTTCCAAACTGAAAGCTTTTCTAAAGGCCGTTAGGGAGTCCTGATGGAAGCCATAGCAACCGAAACCACCGGTAACCAGTGGCGACGGGACAGCGTGAGTTACCTCCGAGAGTTTGGTGCACAGATGGTCCTCCCAGTTCTCCTCCGGGGGGGATTCGGGGAGGAACACCCAGTCGGCGCCGCAGGCCAGGGCGCTCACCAGGGCCAGGTACCTGCCAGGACAAAGCGAATCGCGTCTTCGACGGGACGCTTCCGCCCAGCAGGAAGCATCCTGCGGGGGGCGGGGGGCGGCCGAGCTCAGCGACAAGTTTGGGCAGATACGACCCTGGAACATGAGCCAGAGGTGCCAGCTCCTCTCTCCGGGGTGCATTCCCGACGTGGGGTGCAGGGCGCGGGAGGGGATACCACCAGGGTCCTCCCCCTCCCCCCAGACGGCGCCACGGATACGCACCCGCAGTGTCTCCCCATGACCTCGAGAACGAAGGTCCTCTGGTGGCTGGAAAAGAAAGAGAGAGAGAGAGAGAGAGAGAGAGAATGCCACTTGTCACTTACCACGGCCGGGCACCTGTTGGGAACAGAAAAGTGCTTGCCCTGCTCCCAGGTCACCACGGGTCCCTGGGCTTCCAGAGAGAGAGAGAGACCCGTCATCCACAAGAGCAAATGCCGCCGACAGGGCGAGTCCCACTCCGGCCAGGGAAGGGCTCTGGCAGCAGCTGGGCGTCTGGTTGCGGTTTCCATCTACCTGCTTGTGCCCCGAAGACACACTCACACGCTAGGATGCTCTCCCGTCCCCTTCCCAAGGCAACCACTGGACAGGGCAAAGGCAGTGACGTCTGTCAAGAACCAGGGGGCGGCCGGGCGCGGTGGCTCACGCTGACACAGCATGCGCCAACCATGCCCGCTAATTTTTCATATATATTAGGTTGGCCAATAATTCTTTCTATTTTTTTTTTTTTTTTATAGTAGAGACGGGGTCTCGCTCTTGCTCGGATGGTTTGAACTCCTGACCTTGCGAGATCTTCCCGCCCTCGGCCTCCCCAGAGTGCTCAGATAGGCCC